TATTTTAAATGGTCAGCCGGGTCCGGGTCGGGTCCCAATCTATTACTTCGGGTCCCAGGTCTGTTTAACATTGTGTGTAATACCCGAGTCGATCGGATTCGGAGAACACCCGGCCGTTATCAGAGTCAGTCAGCGCTGTGCGTGTGTTGTTTTCTAACTTTCAACTTGTAAAATTAGGATGAGAACAGGTAATTTTAAATAAGGTGAAAAAAAAAACCACGAGCGACGACATCAGAAGCAGGGTGGGCAAACTTCTTCCATTAAGGTTAACAGAGACTACATGCTTCTGTGACCCTTCAATGAAGCAGAATTTTTTTCTGAACTCTTCTCCAGATGTGTGGCTTGACGTAAACCTGTTTCTGAGCTCTACAGGCAGTTCTTTTGACCTCAGGGCTTGGTTTTTGCTCTGATATGCATTATCAGCTGTTAGATCTTTTATTAAGACGTGTGTGCCTTTCCAAATCATACCCATTCAATTGAATTTGCCACAGGTTAACTTCACTTGAAGTGTAGTAATATCTACAAGCAAAATGAATGCTCCTGAGCTAAACTTCAACTGTCCAAGATAAGGGTATGAATACTTATGCAATGGAATCATTTTATTTTTAATAAATTTACAAAGATGTTAAAAACCTGTTTTTTTGCTTGACGATTATGGTGTATGGAGTGTAGATTGTTGTGGAAATAAACTAATTTAAATCAGTTTAACATAAGGCAGCAACAAAACAAAATGTGGAAAAAAATTAAGGGGTATGAATACATTCGCAAGGCACTGTATATTACTTTTTTATTTACCATGCTGTTAATGTTGTACTTGAGGTATTTGATAGGAAACAAACATCGACACAATAAGGTTCTGAAAGTGCTGTAATTGTTTGTGTGATCATTTTGCTTATAGAAGATTATGACTGACCCAAATCATCACTGCTGCGTGTACAGCCACGTTCACACAGCAGCAGAATATGCAGAATACAGTTGTCAGTCCTGTATTTGGGTCCTTAACATGGTTACGTTCACACAATACAGTTATTTACGGGGGTGACAACCGCATTCTATAACCGAACTCACATTTTCAGGACTCACAACCGCATTCTTGGAAAACATGCGCTGTATGAACTGGACAACTAGTTGTAGTACAGTGCGAGAGAGCCGCTCATGTGTGGTTTCACTTTGGGTACAGCGACGGAGAAATGAGCCGTGTGTCATCTGAAGGTTTTAGATCCAGTCACTGTTCTCCACTGGAGTGGTTTCCGTCAGTTTTGTGTTCTGTGCGTCACAGTGCGTGACTCAAATGCGGTGTCATGCGCGAGATGCAGAAAAGGATGCGAGCGCATATACGGGCTTGACTCTCGTTGCACGTTCATACAGGGTGACCGTGATTTCACCAAGTACAACATGTTCCTGGATCAACATCTTTGTTGATCCTGGAACAACATTCCAATTAACCAATCAGAGTTGAGAGACAACTTTTCAGGAAATATCCGTTTTAGGCTTACGATCAGGGTTAGGTGCTTCTACACCCTTGTTAATCAGCTATCATTTCACACTGATTTTAGGAATAAATTATGGGTAGGGTTAGGTTTAAGGGTAGGGATTGGGTTTAGTCTGTATTTTTGGACAGTAATGTTGATCCAGGATCAACAAAAGATGTTACTTGGCAAAATCACGGCGACCTTCATACAGACAGTATTCGAGACGCTACTGTAAGCTGCTGTTTGAACGGGACATTTCGAGACTGTACGGAAATGCGGTTGTCAATCCCTAAAAAACTGACAGTGTGAATGTGGCAGTAATAGTGATTACTTTCTGGCGCTATGGCATTTTTAAACTGTGTCCGAGACGTTAGCGTGTCTCTAATAATATCGGTCACAAACATGATCACTGCACGATCTAATGTGTAGTGTCTTATTAACTCACTGTCATGCATTGTGTGCAATACATTTCTTCTCCCTCTTCACGTGCTAATGTAAGCTGCTGTTTGAACGGGACATTTCGAGACTGTAAGGAAATGTGGTTGTCAATCCCTAAAAAAACTGACAGTGTGAGCGTAGCCGTAATTAATGTAGTGATTACTTTCTGGCTCTATGGCATTTTTAAACTGTATCCGAGATGTTAGCGTGTCTCTAATAATATCGCTCACAAACATGATCACTGCACGATCTAATGTGTAGTGTCTTATTAACTCACTGTCATGTATTGTGTGCAATACATTTCTTCTCCCTCTTCACGTTTCGTTGATTTTCTCCACTGCTAAAGAAACTCTTAAGCCTCTTAAAAGTCCTCGTCAGTGTACTCCTAATAATTTTGGACCTTAAGAGCTCTTTTAAGGGTTAAGGTGCTTGAGCCGCTCATGTGTGGTTTCACTTTGGGTACAGCGACGGAGAAATGAGCCGTGTGTCATCTGAAGGTTTTAGATCCAGTCACTGTTCTCCACTGGAGTGGTTTCCGTCAGTTTTGTGTTCTGTGCGTCACAGTGCGTGACTCAAATGCGGTGTCATGCGCGAGATGCAGAAAAGGATGCGAGCGCATATACGGGCTTGACTCTCGTTGCACGTTCATACAGGGTGACCGTGATTTCACCAAGTACAACATGTTCCTGGATCAACATCTTTGTTGATCCTGGAACAACATTCCAATTAACCAATCAGAGTTGAGAGACAACTTTTCAGGAAATATCCGTTTTAGGCTTACGATCAGGGTTAGGTGCTTCTACACCCTTGTTAATCAGCTATCATTTCACACTGATTTTAGGAATAAATTATGGGTAGGGTTAGGTTTAAGGGTAGGGATTGGGTTTAGTCTGTATTTTTGGACAGTAATGTTGATCCAGGATCAACAAAAGATGTTACTTGGCAAAATCACGGCGACCTTCATACAGACAGTATTCGAGACGCTACTGTAAGCTGCTGTTTGAACGGGACATTTCGAGACTGTACGGAAATGCGGTTGTCAATCCCTAAAAAACTGACAGTGTGAATGTGGCAGTAATAGTGATTACTTTCTGGCGCTATGGCATTTTTAAACTGTGTCCGAGACGTTAGCGTGTCTCTAATAATATCGGTCACAAACATGATCACTGCACGATCTAATGTGTAGTGTCTTATTAACTCACTGTCATGTATTGTGTGCAATACATTTCTTCTCCCTCTTCACGTTTCGTTGATTTTCTCCACTGCTAAAGAAACTCTTAAGCCTCTTAAAAGTCCTCGTCAGTGTACTCCTAATAATTTTGGACCTTAAGAGCTCTTTTAAGGGTTAAGGTGCTTTCTGAATTACTTTCTTCTTTACTAGGATCTTTTCTTTAATTTTAACAGGAAACACCCACATTTCTAAGATTTTTCTTAGAATTGTGTCACTATGAGCAACTTTTTGCACTAAGAATTTTCATGAATACGGGCCCTGGTTTATGAAATTGCACATATTGCTTGGGATTTCACATTTTCATTCTCTTGAACTCATTCTTGAAAACATTTAATTTTAATAATTCAGTGCTTGCCAAACACGTTACTTCCTTTTTTTACTTTTAATGAAGAAACAGATTACGGACAAATTAGCCAATGTGTAGAAATAAGGATTTTTCCTGTTATGATTTATTGTTGTTTCATTAGACCAGGGGTAGGCAAGTTCGGTCCTAGAGAGCCCAGCTCCAACCCTGAAAAAAACTCACCTGCCTATAGCCTTAGTAATCCTGAAGACACTGATTAGCTTGTTCAGGTGTGTTTGATTAGGGTTGGAGCTGAACTCTGTGCGGCTCTCTAGGACCGAACTTGCCTACCCCTGCATTAGACAAACAGTCCTTACATTCCATCACTTGAAACTGAGATAATATTTCACCTATGCATACCTTAAAAAAAAATAAATAAATACCTATGTCTTCACAGAACCGTCCACTTGGAGCAAATATTTTTCATCTAAAATGTATTATATACAATATCCAGTTAAAACAAGAAATATTGTTGAAATATTATAAAGGTGCAAAAATAAATCAATAATGTTTATTAGATTTTAAACAACAATTTTGTTTTTTTGTGAAAATATTTCATAAACAGAGTTGACCCTTTAAGTAACAGAATTGTAAAGTAACATAATTGACAGAATTATCCGATGGACTGTCAATTCTGTTACCGCACTGTCACTCTACCTTGGTAACAGAGTTTGACAGTAACAGAATTGACAATTTTATTTATTTTTTTGCCAAAAACTCCACTTGCTAGCATAAATGCTAAGAGCACATGGCACTAATGAAATCATGATTAAAAGACTTTTAAATAACACAAAGTGTGATCAATGAAAAAAAAATTGTTTTCCTTTTGACGTAGCGGTGTCTGACTAGGGTTGAGACATGGAGTGCTTTCCTTTTGATATTGTGGTAACAGATTTGACACTTTATAAAATAACTCTTGCTGTACGAACTTTTAGATTAAAATATTTACTTAGAGAGAGCACATAGACTTTTCAGTGCTTCAGATCTTAAAAGTGAGGGAAAGTGACATCATTTCCTGTATTTTACATAGTTGTGAGAGATAATTCCACTAATTTAAAGGCAAAGTACAGTACGGTAACAGAGTTGACGCAAGATTTACGGACACATTTTTATAAGAAAATTATAAAAAAAAAAAAAAATTTTTGTTGTAGAATTAGGTAAATTACTTTGTAGGGCTTTAATAAATAAAATGAATTAAATATTACAAAAAGAAAAGTACAATAAAATATTTTGATTACACAATGATACATGATGGAACTAAATGCAGTGCAATAATACTATTATTAATTTCATTTTTTAATAGTTATATTTAATGGGTCACACTACATGTAGTGTGGGCACCAAATCAAATCTCCAGTTGCTCTTAAGAGAACCAGACTCAAAAACTTAAGTGCATCCCTGTATACACACACACTCAAATATAACTTCAAATTTCTTTTGAAAACATTAACATTAATGAGATTATAGAATCTCTATAGAAAAAAAAAATTCTAGTTGCAGCACATTCTACCTCTGACCAGTTGACACTTGTGTTCTTATCTGTAATTCCTGATTTTACCATGTCCTGTTGCTTTTAAATCATGTTCCTTTATTATTTAGTAATATTTGAATTTAAAGCGAACTGTTCAAGTGTTTGTTACCAAATAGTAGAGTATTCTTGTGTTAATTTATAATTCCACATTAAAAACAGTCCCAGAGTCCCATAGAGCTGGGAAGCCCGAGGCCTCCAGAGCCTGAAGGTTGGGTGTAGCTAGCAGGGAAGGAGCCGAGGAGCTGGGCGAAATCGACAGAGCCAGGAACCCGGATGGAATCAGTGGAGGGGGCAGAGCCAGGAGGCCGGGTGAAGCCGGCAGCCACGAGGAGCAAGTGTGAAACTCTTTCCACACTGAGGGCAGCTGAAAGCTTTCTCTCTGGTGTGAGGTGTTACCTGTATCTGAAACTCTTTCCACACTGAAGACATTTAGAACAGTTTTCACGAGTGAATCTTCATGTGGCAATTAAGGTTTACTTTACTTCTGTAACTCTTGCCACATTGAACACATACAAATGGCTTTTCTCCTGTGTGAATTCTCATATGAATCGTAAGATTTCCTTTTTGTGAGAAGCTCTTTCCACACAGATTGCAGGTATAAGGCTTCTCTCCAGTGTGACCTCTCATGTGGGTACTAAGAGTTGGTTTTTGTCTGAAATTTTTTCCACACTGATAACATACATACGGCTTCTCTCCAGTGTGAATGTTCATGTGTTTCTTAAGACTTTCTTTTCGCGAGAAGCTCCTCTCACACAGTTTGCAAGTGAACGAGCTCTCTCCAGTGTGAATTTTTATATGGGAATTAAGAGATTTTTTATGTGTAAAACTCTTTCCACATAGTTTGCAGGTGTAAGGCTTCTCTCCAGTGTGAACACTCATGTGGCTTTTAAGGCCTCCTTTTCGAATGAAACATTTTCCACACTGTTGGCAGGTGAAAGAGCTCTCTCCAGTGTGAATTCGCATGTGGACTTTAAGGCTTCCTTTCTGAGTGAAACTATTTCCGCACTGTTTGCAGGTGAAAGGGCTCGCTTTAGTGTGAATTCCCATATGGACTGTAAGGCTTACTTTTTGAGTGAAACTTTTTCCACACTGTTGGCAGGTGAAAGGCTTCTCTCCAGTGTGAATTCTCATGTGGACTTTAAAGCTTTCTTTTCTATTGAAACTTTTTCCACACAATTGGCAGGTGAAATAACTTCTAGTTCCTGTAATTTGGGCTCTTTTTTGAGAAGAACCCTTTTTTTTGGACTTTTGAGTCTGTGAGCAAATAAAAGATTTTTCTCCAGCTATGAAATCAAGATGTTGCTCATACGGAGTTTTCTCTTCCATTTCATTCAGTACTTCATTCTCTTCTTTCAGCAGCATCAGGTCTAAGATGAAAAAAACACACAAATAAAAGTTAACTGAGTTTAATGGCACAAAGCAGGAGACGTCAAAAAAAAAAAGTGAACGCTGAGGTCAGACTGAGGACAACTGGTTAATCATAGACTAGGGCTCTTCAACACTTCTCCTGGAGGGTCGCTGTCCTGCAGAGTTAAAGGGGTCATAGGATGCCCATTTTCCACAAGTTGATATGAGGCCTGTCTGTGTCACAGACTGGACTGGTGTCTTACCTCAGACCCACCCTGAGTGAGCTGTCATCAGTCCGCCATTGTTGAGATTGGCTCGATTTGAGAAATGGGAAAACATTTAACAAGATTTAAAAAAAAAAAAACACGGGGTGGATTTTTATCATTATAGGGTGGTTGTGTACACACACTGCCAACACACATTTCAGTTTAAACAACTTGTAAAAGTGCATGTAGCATCCTATGACCCCTTTCAGCTCAAACTCTTAATTAACTCTTTCCCCACCAGCGTTCTTAAAAAATGTTTTTTTATATATATAAAGTTGCCAACCACCGTCAGCATTTTTTGAGCATTTTCACAAATTTTAAGGCCCCATTAATGGCGGCAAAAAAGTTAAACACACCTGAATAAGCTAATCAAGGTCAAGTTTGGGCTGCGTTCCATTTCTGTTCAAGCACTTCCCCTCGGAGGAATCCCCACTGGCATTTTGAAGTGCATTCCACTTCATGAAGTCGACGAGGGACGTTTGCACAGACAGACCCTTGACCTCTCGATTTTGACTAAGGGAGTGATTCTACTTCATATGTACACTTCAGGCAGCTCCATATACCACAATGCAACACGATTGTGACGTCACCGCAGATCACATTTAATTTACCCCCGCCCCAAACAACTCTATGATATACAAATTTAAATTGAAACATTTAAAACAACCCAAGCATACCTATATACATACAGAATGCTGCATCAAACAATTTCATAAGGGGAAGAAAGGTAAGTAATAAATCAAACTCCATAATGGATTCCTAGTGATCAAGGGCTTAAGACATTCCAATTCAGCCCACTGCAAGGGTTCCGCCAGTAGTGGGTACTCGTGCAATGTAATCATCCAAGACAACGAGACGGAGGCAGGTTAGCAAATGAAGCTAGTCATGTTTTAGTCATAGTCTTTTGACTAAAATGCCATTTATTTTTAGTCATATTTTAGTCATCTGAATTGTTTTTAGTTTTAGTCTAGTTTTAGTCGACTAAATATCATAAGATTGTAGTCAACTAAATCTACAGTAAATTTAGTCAACTAAAATCTAATGGGTTTAGTTACAGTGCATTTATTAAAGGGGTCATATGATGCTTTTTTAAAGATCATTATTTGGTGTAACAGAATTGTAGGTCCTCTATGCCCCGCCTCTCTCAAACGCTTCGTTTTCTACAAAGTCCCTCCTTCCGACAAGCGCAGTCTGCTATGATTGGCCAGCTGACCCAGTGCATTGTGATTGGCCGAACTCTGAATTGTTTTTAGTTTTAGTCGACTAAATCTACAGTAAATTTAGTTGGCTACAATCTAATGGGTTTAGTTACAGTGTAATGCATTTATTAGCATTTCTCTAAAATTTCCAAACTCGTTATATAGGTTTGATATTAAGGTTATATCATGATAGACACCGATTTAACTGCGGTGACACACAACATGCCTTTATGTTCAAATTAAATAAAACCACTTTTTAATGAAATACCAATGGTTATTGCATGCACACTTCACGAACAGTATTGTTTTAATTTATATAGCATGGCAAGACAATTATAGTTACATATAATTATCTGTCATGCAGTTGATAAATGACACCGCAGTAGGCTAATGTGTTTGCTGTGTGCCATTTAAATTTTTATGAAACTTTAATTTTCTTCACTACATTGCAAAGCATAGACTTTTTCCTCCCCTTTATTTCAGGAAAATATGCTGCTCCTCGTTATTTTAAAGTGAAGAAATCGAGAAACTTTTATTTCTACAGGCTAGTGATGATTCTGAAAGAACATACCTGGAATTTGTTGCTATAGTAACGAACGCAGATTATGTGCATCGTGCTCGTATTTCAGTGCAGTTGTTAAGATTGTGGTTATTTCAGCAAACAGTTTCATACATTTTAACAGTGTTAAGTTCAACTTTTATACAGTATATCATTCAATGGTAGGCTACTATTTAGAGATCAGTGATGCGCACGCATTTTAGACACTTTTTTTAATGTTTTTGCTCAGTCCATGTAATAAATGCACATCCTTGAATAAGCCATGTATAACTTCTGATATGACCGGTTTCAAGGCAAAATTGCAGTCGATTGTAAAACATCACATTTTGACTCATTATAGCTCAAACCAGATCCGACAATCTCACAGCCACCACGGTCAAATATTGAGATAGACTTTATAAAGTATCATCTATTTATATTAAATTAATATAAATATATTAAATTGGTATCTTCTCCGATACCCATTTTGTGACCATTATTGAGCCGATTCTTTTTAATCAGCTGGAATGATTCGGGACATCTACGCTTAACGTGGCTTAATGCATTAAAACGGTGTTTTAAAAAGACAAAACTCAGTAAACACATTATTAATAAAGCATTCTATTCAAAGACAAGCAGATGAGTCCAGAATAAGAACGCAATGTGTTTAATTAGGCTACGTGTTCAGTTAAGTGTTTTCCTCCCATAGAAAACCATTAGCCTAACGTCCGCTTAACGTCCCACATGAAAAAATACTATAGTAATTTATAGTAAATATAGTGTTTTTGAACCATACTATAGTAAAGTGCTTGAATTAATGTGCTGTGGTAATATAACAACTTTATGTTCTCAAGCCCGCCGGCCGCGCCGTTCTCAAGCCCGCCCGCCTCCGCTCACTCTAGCCCGCTGTGTTTCGTTGTGAAAGTGAAACTACTTTGTTTGGCCTTCCAAAAGAGGACACGACTAGAAATCAGTGGTTAAGTTGTATTTACAACACTGTTCCAGAACAGTTCAACCCAAATATTCAGATGTGTGCAGCACATTTTATAGAGGACTGTTTCCTGATCCTAGAAGAGTAGACTACAATGCCGGCTGGTCTGACTCACGGACTGTAAGTAAGTTTTTTTTATATTTAAAGGATTTGCCACTGACGATTCAAACGTGAATTTTGAGCAGTGTAGAGTAGTGCTTGTTGCTTGTAATTTCTCCGATCACAAATGCAGACATGGTTTTATGTTTACGCGGCGCGATGCAACGCAACGCGTAAAAAGACAGTATAAGTCATTATAATCCGTAATTATGTCCCCACTGGATGCAACAAATGCCTCGTTTATAATGGGGTTTAATGTTTTTGTCTCTTCGCTCCGGCTGGGACACGGCATCACAATATGGTAAGGGGCGTAACATTTCCGTCACACGCTTGAGGTATTCGGCCAATCACAACGCACTGGATAGCTGGCCAATCACAGCACACCTCGCTTTTTTAGAACGATGAGCTTTGTAAAAATCGACGCGTTTCAGAAAGGCGGGGCATAGAGGAGAAACAATAATGTACAGTATGTGGAAAATAATGTGTTTTTTGAACCTTAAACCGCATAAACACATTTCATTACACCAAATACACAAAATAATGTTCTTTTTAGCAACATCATATAACCCCTTTAATAAAGCATTCTATTTCAGACAAGCAGGTTATGGGAGGAAAACGCTTAATGTATAATTAAACGTGTTGCGTTTGTATTCTGGGCTCATATCTGCTTGTCTGTGAATAGAATTCTTTATTAATAATGTATTTACTGAGTTTGGTTTTTTTAAAACACCGTTTTAATGCATTAAGCCACATAGCCTACTTTCATGTTAAGCGTTTTAGAATGTCCCAATGATTAATTTGTGAATTCGACTGGTCCAGAAGATTAAACTTGCAGCAGCTAACATCTCGTGATTCAATAAAACAGACATAGTGAGTCAAGTTTACAATAAACAACTGTGCATTATAATGAAGGCTCAAACTACACAGCATTTTTAGCTTTTTAAACAACATACTCCATCCTACACCAACTACGCACACATTTCCTATCATGTATGCCTATGAAAGACGATCGAACCAATCAGAGTAGGTATGGGGCGGGGCGACACGTGCAGCCCCGCCCCGATCTGCAGGCTGTATACTTGACTTGGACCCCTAAAAATCAGCTATTTATATCAATGGGAATGATAGATCAAGGCTGTAATGTTAATGACATCCACCAGAGGATAAGAGATCCTTTTAGGTTTCAAAAATTGTATAAATGGTTCAAGAAATTAACTTGTAGTAAATATATATGTGACCCTGGACCACAAAACCAGTCATAAGGGTCACTTCACAAGAAATATTTTTAATGATCTTCAGTAAGTAAAAAGGACAACATTTTTAATTTAGAAAACATGTGAACTATGTGTGTGAATATATTTATTTTTTTTTTTTTTTTTTAAAGTATAGAATAAACAGTTTTATGGCGTTTAATATAATGAGTTTGCAAAGAATTCTGTGAACTCCAAAATGGTTATAGATTAATTATTACATCCAATATTATAATTCCTAATGATATTAAAACTGAATATATTGCTACTCAATTAAAACAAAGACAAGATTATTTTTAATATATTAAATAATTAAACACTTCCATAGAGACACCTAAATACTCTTATTACACGGCTCTCTGAAACCCTCATCCAGGTACGGTTTTGTGCCCACTTATTTACTTGTGGCAAGTATTCATGTATTAAGCAGGATAACATATACCCATCTCATGTTTTGTTAAATACTGTTGCATAATTATTGGATACAAATTTTGAATTCACAACTAGATATGGGGTTTAATATTACCCAAAATAATTGTTTTGTTTACGCTACTTCTGTACTATTTTTCCGTTTTTTAATGCATCACGTCATAATAATGAATGCCCAACTTCGAAGCAAGAGCTTCTCAGGTGCACTTGAAGCAGCATTCGTATTTGTCTGCTCATGTGATCTCATCATGTCTGTCCACATGACCCGCTCCAAGTCAAATAGACCACTTAAATTAGGCCTCATATGACATTGTTCACAAATACTATTCATTTCAGAAGAAGCCCTGAACTGCAACGTGTCGAGAAATAAAATAGAAAAGTGGGTAAGAACAAAAAATCCACATGCTAATGTTAGCCGGTCATCTTTTTTTTTTTTTTTTTTAAGTTTTTGAAGAGAGAGAAAACAGTTTTTTTAAGAGAAGAAAAAGTTTTTGAAAACATAACCAATCAGAGAAAAAACTTAGGACTTAGGTTCAGGAAAGATCTAAGACACTTTATTATAAGACTCCAAGTAGGGCTGGACAATAATTCAATATCAATATGAATCGCGATATAATTTTTTTCAATAACGGTGATATGATTTTTAAACATTTCCGATATTTCGATATACATTACCAGTGTTTACAATACATTGATTTATTTGTGGCGTTTGACTTCGTTGAATAAACATGAGCAATGCACGTTTCAAAATCATAACACGTCGCGGGTGTTTTATATGAATGTATCTCTGAAGGGAACCGACTGTCTTCAGAAAAGTTTCGATGGCATTTTTATTTGATCTGATAAAGTAGCGTTCATGAGCGGAGCTGCTTTGTTTACAGCCGTTACCGGGGAAACCACTGTTTCTGCCGCTCTCAAAGCGCCACCTGCTGGCAGAGAATCAGTTTGCATTTTCAATAAGCCCGTCTCCAGCAACATGTTTTAGTTGTTTTTTTTTTATTTTCTGCAGCAACTTAGAGCACTTTTCATACTCTTTATACTGGCTAAAGCACATTTGTTTCAATCTATAAGAATAATTAGCCTACACTACCAGTCAAAAGTTTTTGAACAGTAAGATTTTTTTTGTTTTTTTAAGAATTCTCTTCTGCTCACCAAGCCTGCATTTATTTGATTCAAAATACAGCAGTAAAAAACAATACAATTGTGACTTTTTACTATTTAAAATAACTGCTTTCTATTTGAATATATTTTAAAATGTAATTTATTTCTGTGATCAAAGCTGAATTTTCAGCATCATTACTCCAGTCTTCAGTGTCACATGATCCAGATATCATTCTAATATGCTGATTATCAATATTTAAAATAGTTGAGTGCATTTTTTTTTTCAGGATTCTTTGATGAATAGAAAGATCAGCATTTATCTGAAATAAAAAGTTTTTGTAACATTATACACTATTGCATTCAAAAGCTTGGAGTCAGTATGATTTCTTTTTCTTTTTTGAAAAGAAATGATAGAAATTAATACTTTTATTTAGCAAGGATGCTTTAAATGTTACAAAAGATTTCTATTTCAGGTAAATGCTCTTCTTCATCAAAGAAACCTGAAAAAATTCTACTTGGCTGTTTTCAACATAATAAATGATTTTTCAGCATCAAATCTGAATATTTGAATGATTTCTGAAGGATAATGTGACTGGAGTAACGATGCTAAAATATAGCTTTGAAATCACAGGAATAAATTACATTCGGCTTTCTGACAAGATGCGCATTAAATATCGCATGCGATTTATCGTGCAGCCCTAGGCAGAGTCTATCTGGAGGCAGAAAATTACGGTTTTCAAGTGGCAAGTCTATGGAGCCATGGAATAAAATAATAAAAAAAAAGGTAAATTTGATTTTAAATTTCAAAATTCTGACATTATTCTCGCAATTCCGAGATTATATCTCACAATTCTAATAAGGAAAAACAACTCGTCATTCTCTCTTTTTCCTTCCATGGATTTGACCCATTTATCTCCACTTGTTCCCAGTGTTTTTCTGCCACCACTATGCGCGCGCAGCTGCAAGTGACGTAACTGTGACGTCTACTCTAAATTGGTCTATAGTTTGAAGTTAAAGATATTAATATTAATTAGGGGAGTCTGAGACGATTATTTGACAGTGATTTCACATTTCTTGTTTGAATGAAGGCTAAATACAAATAAAAGGTGAGCATTAATTTATTTGTGCCGTTTTTTTTTTTCCTAAAATATTATATGGTTTTATATGAGGTGACTTGACTTGGCAAATTCCTTTTTCATAGGTTTGTAGATGCACACATCTGTTGTGGGCGTTCTTGGCTGTTTTTACGAGGCTTTTTTAATAGTGTTCATATCGATATCGGAATTATATCGTATCGACCGAAAATAATAAATATACCGTGATAATTTTGGTCCATATCTTCCAGCCCTAACTCATAAAACATTTTTAATTCACATTGTGATTCGGGGTTCTGTCTACTCTTCTGTAAAGGTCGACATTTTAATAAGGATCAAATGACTAAGTTCCGTTTTAAGAATGAAACTAACCCGTTTGTGTCTCAGTATCTTCTTGTTTGACTCTGAATGTTTCTTCAATCCTCACATCTTCACTCTCCTCTTTAATAAACTCCATCTTTATAAAAGTGTGTCACGTGGATCTCAGTTGCTTCAGCAGGAGTTTCTCTGTGTGTTTGGATACTTTGTCCTGTTTAAAATGAGAATAAAGAGTAAATATAAACTAAATCTCTGGGTGCATCTCAATTAGCTCCCTAGTTCAGTAGTAAGCGCACAAGGGAATCGGCCAGAGTGAAAGTTAATAGCATGGCCAAATAAATAAATAATAGTAATAATAGACTTCAATTTTTTGCATCAAATTCGTGTTTACTATACACTGATACGCGATATAGGCTAGTAGTGAGTGAAATTAGACGCATCTTTTCTTTTACTCATTTGTGGATGCACTTAAGTTACTCCAGAAACATAACGTTCCTCATTGTTAGATAAAGCATTACAATGTTGCATCCATTATTAATTTATTTCACATAGCTTGCAAACACTATAAAGCTGAACGAACCGTTTGCATTGGTTTAAACACCTTAAACGCTATAAAACAAACCTTTCTGCAGCAGAATCACAACAGACGGAGGAGCGCGGCGCAGCCTTATGACGTCACATCACCAGACCAAAATAAAAGTCCCGTTCTTCTACTTGAATTCAGCTTGGACCTAATACAGTGCATTATTAAATGCTCGACATTTTCTTGAATGCCACAATGCATACACTTATCACTGTTTCTTTTCCCCAGGACAAACATATAGTGTTTAATCCTGTATGATTTTGTCTTGAGTCTTCCTTCTATAGTCTTATCTGAGCTTATATATATATATATATCAGTGGTGTGCGGTGGTGTTTTAAAATGAGGAGGCCGTTATATATACTGTATGTGTGTGTATATATATATATATATATATATATATATATAAAATTCATGTCCTATTTACACTTAATGTTTACACAGTGCAAATAGCTATAGATTCTATTTACACCTAGCAGGATTTTCTGCTATAAAAGGACTTCAACACGTACTTTACCATCTGTGCCACTGGAGCGGTTTTTAGACGATAGTCTTTTGTAATGTTTTGTAATCACACGTTGATGGGCAGAGTTAGTGTAAATAGCTTCTGCCAACTAGGCGGTCTATGTAAATACTAGGAATTAGTGCTCTGCATTTAACCCATCCTAAGTGCACACACACAGCAGTGAACACACACACACACACACTGTGAACACACACCCGGAGCAGTGGGCAGCCATTTATGCTCCGGCGCCCGGGGAGCAGTTGGGGGTTCGGTGCCTTGCTCAAGGGCACCTCAGTCGTGGTATTGAAGGTGGTGAAACATTTCATGTTTCATTTTGATGTGACACAAAGCAGTGATATCTAAGCAGGAGAGTTGTTTACTTACTTTATAATTAGTCAATAACGCCATTATTTGTTTTCGTTCAAGCCGAGAGCGATATATATATATATATATATATATATATATATTACTGTATTTTGTAATATTGTCTGATTTTTCTTTCTTACTCCACATTTTCTGCCATATTTCTATTCCTTTCTTCTTAATCAGAGTTTACCTTCTCAAAGTAAAATTGAAAGTGTTATTTATTTATTTTTGTAAATCAATTTTTGGCTATTTATCAGCAGACTCATGAAATGGTACACAATCGAACTGTATGTCGATACCACCCGTGAAGTCTAAATAAACTTCAGTAAAGTTCCATTATGAAATCTTGTGACACTTTTTGTTTACCATGTTTTCTTTTGTAGCTATTGAATCAAAACAGGTCTGAACCCATTCTCCCATTGTAATCCAATGACTGCCACTATTTCTGCTGTTTAATTGCTCTGACAATTTTTTATAATTTTTTTTTTTTTAGATATTTTAATGTAAGTAATACTTTCTCCACTTCCCACCTTCATTCTTAGAGTCATCTCTGAATATGCTGAGATAATATATAGCAGGGGTGTCCAAACGCAGTCCTGGAGGGCCACTGTCCTGCAGAGTTTAGCTCCAACCTGCCTGGAAGTTTCTAGTATGCCAAGTAAGACCTTGATTAGCTTGTTCAGGTGTGTCATATTGTATGACCTTGCTCTTTCTTCCGATAACCAACCGAACGGGTTATCCTGGAATTTGGAGTATTCCCAACAATCCTGTTTTTTTATTATTATTTATTTCTTCCCCACTTCCCTTTAACCTAACAATATGTTAGTGATAATCTCTCTCTGCTTAATTCTGGCAGTGTTTCTCCTGCTTTTATTAAAACTGTGTTATTGGGGGTTGACCTAAGGGCTCCTATACATAATCATAAATCTCTATACTGTATTCTGTCTGTTTTTGTAGTGTCAGCTTTGCTGCTACTCCATATTCTGTGCTTCCATAATCTATTGTTGCCCTCATAATTGCCCTGTAAATGTCAATTAATGATTGTTTGTCTTCCCCAATCACATCCGGCCACCGCTTGTAATAAATATATTACTTTTTTTTGCATTTTGCTTCTAGATGGTTGATATGCACTTTCAATTTATACTTATCACATAACCATAATCCCAAATACTTCAATTCAGATATGATCAGATGCTCAAATCTGTTGACCATATAATGTTATTTGAAAAAAAATCATGTAGCAAGACTTGCTCATTGAGAGCATAAACCCTCATTCATAAGACTTTTTTTTCTTCAGTTTTTCAATAGCTTCTCTTATTTTTCCCAATACATATTACATATACATACATATCTTCCCCCCACCTCACTGCATATAATGCTGATTTTATACCTCCAGGGCTAATTGCACTCCTCTGAGGAATACCATTATACATTTCAAAATCTTTAGATACTTCGCCAGTCTTAACTCTGATCTTCCTGCCCATTAGAAGAGGCCCAGAAAGAGAGAATATTGATTCCTGAAGTCTACTCACAGATTGAGTTGTACACCCTTTTTACAGTGACAGGAAGTTTCAAAACAACACAGTCCAAAATGGTCACAGTTTTTTTTTTCAGTCCTTTAGGATACTGGATTCCAATCACAAAACATGCACACAGGAGGAGGCCCAGTGCCATCGAGATGTCCTCACGCTCCTCTGTGATTAATTGGATGGCCAGTTAATCACAAAGGAGAGCAGACTCAGCAAATCTTGAAGGACTCGAGGTGCCATTAGAGAGCTGTATGAGAATTCGTTGGTCCACATCAACATTGGTGTGGTCTCTCAGATCCCAAAGGAGCTTATGTTAAGATGAAGGCAATGTAGGACATGTATTAAAATATAGTCATAACAATTAAATAAGGAAGCAGTTAACACACTACTGTACTTACCATTTTGGCCTGCTGTGGTTGGACACAATATTTCACTGGTAGCATTTTCTCAGCGCCATCCTTTCTTTGAGGAGCTCTATGTTTGGTTGAAGCTTCTCTGTTTCCTCCTTCATTACTCACAGATGTTCCTTGATGCTCTGTGATGTTCCCTGATGCACACGCATGCTTCTGACGTGACTCTGCAGAGTAGAAAATAATTCAACCTCATGTCTTTTTGCATCTGCAATACCTGCAACAATTCTACTACTGACTAGGGCTGGGTATCGAGTTCGATACTTTTTAGGCCCTGACTGAATTGCTTCAATACCATTGAGTATCGAAAAATTTATTGTTGTTCGGTATCGGTACCAAATTTCGGGGGTTAATCTGGTCAACGTCAGTGAGCCAGTAAGCGTGCAGCATGCTTAATGTGCCTAAATAAAGTGCTTGTGATTGGCTCTGGCGAGGCATCCAGGAAAAATCCAAGTTTACGCAGGTTCAGCCCAGAGAAGTAACTCACACGTGAGGCTGGAGTGTGTAAGCGATGTAAGGCTACGTTTACACTATAGTGCGTTTTTATTTTGAAATAAAAACGATCCTCGTCTATACTGGCGTTTCCACAGCATTTCAGAAAAGATCTCCGTCCACACTACATGACTGAAAACGTGTGTTGCGTGACCATTCATGCACACTGTAGCATCATGCTATATAAGACAATTCATAAGATTTATGCTACGCTTATACTTAAAACTCACTTTAAACCACCGTCGAGTGTTTGTAATAACCTCTGATTGTGATCTAATGAGGGGTTTGGTCATATAATGTTGCTGAAATACATTTCAAAATGTGCTAAATAACAACATGAACAACATATGACTTCTTCTTCAGCACCTTAAGATAATGTTCACAATTAATGTTAGCAGTATTTTTTTTTTTTTCCCAGAAGAAAAGTAAGTTTAATATACCACAACATTTTTACCACAAAATCTGAATGTCCTGCACCAATGGTGGCCATGTTGGATTTAGGTCAGGCTGACTAATTGATCACAGAAAATTTGAAGCAAATCATGTGACCAGCGTACTCAAGACAAAACAGGCTGTGATAAATGATAAAAGTATTTGATGAAAAAAATCCTTGGTGTTCTTATTTCTTATGCAAGTTACATAGTGCTGCTTTAAGATTTACATAGATTTTTTTTTATTAATTTCTGTAGTATACTCAGTCAAAACCTTTAATGGCAGCATTCTGCTTTCCGGTGAAGAGGGCTTCATTAGCCACTCTCCACTGGATAAGCACGTGTGTGCTTATCTGTCCCTGTAACATCCAGACAAGATTAAAGTTACTTGTGTGATTTATTTGCTCAATACTACATTTACATGTTGAGTTAGTTGCTGCTGATGTGTCGCTTTTTATCCAACACAAATGTTCCTCAATTTTTCTACAGTACTAATGGACAAATAAAATATATAACTTATTTGGGTAACACTTTACAATAAGGTTCATTAGTTAACATAGTTAACAACTTCAGTTAACATGAACTAAGAATGAACAATACTTCTGCAGCATTTATTAATCTTAATGTTAATTTCAACATTTACAAATGCATTATTAAAATCAAAAGTTGTGCTTGTTAACATTAGTTAACGCACTGTGAATTAACATGAACTAACAAAGAATACCTGTATTTTCATTAACTAATGGAACCTTATTGTAAAGTGTTACCCTTATTTGTTTATTTATATTACTTGCATTCATCTAATGTAAACAGTGTTTACAACAGTGAATTCTACTATATAATAGCACACAAACATCACTCACTCAGATGTCTGTTTCATGTCTATTAGATGTGCTCATCTGCAATTCTTATTGAACATTTTCCTATCAGATATTAAATAGACATTTAGTAAGTGTCTTTAAGATGTACATGGTTTAGAATGTACGTAAATGCACTTTGCAGATGTATGTACGCTTACTGGAGCTCTCCTGTTAGCTATACATAATAAAATGTTTTTACAGCAAAATCACAGATATACTATACTATTTAGCGTCTTTACACCTTCAACGGTTCAACAGTCTGCTCTACAGTAACTCAAGGAACCGTGTTTTTGGTTTGTAATACTCACATTTGAAAACACCCGTGTCCATCGTTGCACTGTTTGATTATGACGTATCCTCTTCTTCTTCATCATCTTCTTCTTTATGACGTATCTTCTCCTGTGGCCTCCTGGGATATAAAAGTATCCATCGGATGAGCACATCAGAATCTGGGCTGAAGCAGTAGGACATCCGGGGATTTCTCGCCTACTCTTTTATGAATGCTGAGGTTTGGGACATACTACTGTCTTCACATACTCTTTTCTCCTACTATATAGTAGGTAAGTAGGCATATTCGGAAACTTAAATATCCTTAACATACTAAACTTAAGTGTACGTACATTCGAATCTCGCGAGAATACGTACACCACGCAGGTAGTTCTCGCCTACTCTTTTAGGAATACTAAGGATTCAAACTAGGGGTGTCGCAATATACAGGTATTGATGATAATCATGACATTCAAAGCAAGAAATATTGACATCATGTTAATTTAGGATGTGACAATATACTGGTATTGGTGATAACCACAATATTTTGTCTGGGAACTGTAGAAAGATGAGGCGAGGACTCAAATGAAGGAAGAATATGGGCATTTAATAATAGTAAAAATGAACAAAAGAACAACAAAAACTACCCCGAGGGGGGAAAACAGGCAGGCAAGACAGGGCAGGGCACGGTGAACATGCACACATCTGACAAATAACATTAAACAACAAACCAGCACAGGACTGCAGACACAAGGAGAATAAATAGGGAGACAAATGAGGAGGGTAACGAGGGAGACACAGGTGGAGTAACTTAAACAATAATGAGAAAACAAGAAGGGCAGGGTCTGACAATAGACAGGAGAGCACATGGCACCAACAACAAACAACAAGCCATGTGCTCAACAAAACACACAGTGACATCTGGTGGCCAACTAGGGCACACCAGCAGAACTGTGACATATTTAAAATGAATAGGACTCATATGATAACACGACACGTAAATACTCCTGCGCCAGTACCTGGTTGACCTCTCAGTTGGCAGTATTGCATCTTAAAGCTGACACCTGTCAAACAAGAAGACGCAGCGTGCACAGCTACTCCAAGAAGAACCACCGGCGCAACGATAGGATAAAGAGCTTAAAATATGGGTACTCAATTAACACGTTAAAGTATCAGTTTTGATGTTAATATTTATTCATCATCCTGTTGAACTTAACAGTATTTTCTCTCTTGTTATTTCATAGGGAGCTTCAAAGAAGACCGAGAATGCCAGAGTCTCAGGTCAACAGACAATTTTTGAGTCTGTGAAAAGGAAAAGGAAAGCAGACATGTCTAGTGCATGTGAAGACACAGCCATCACTGAGTCACTAGCCTACTTCATAGCAAAGGACATTATGCCCTTTAGAATGGTAGAGAGGCCAGGATTTAATGCATTGATGAAAACAGTTGCTCCAAAATACAAAATCCCAAGAAGACAAAACTTTTCTGAAAAAGAAATCCCAAACATGTACGTAAAATTAAAAGCTGACATTGCCAACTCTTTGGCTGAAGTCAAACACTTTGCATTTACAACTGATCTCTGGACCAGTAATACTGGACACCCCTATATGAGCTTAACAGTTCATTTTATCACACCAGCATGAGAATTGAAAGCTGCATGTCTACAGACTGCATTTTTACCTGATGACCACACCAGTGAAAACATTAAAGAGACATTTGGAATTCAGCAGTCAGCAGTGGCGTGTGTCACTACTGACAATGGCACAAATAAGAAGGCTGCATTTAAATCCCTCCTCCCATCGAATTGGCTCAGCTGCTTTGGACATAATTTAAATCTTGCACTTGGAAAGGCCCTGAAGATTGACCAAGTGGATGCTGCTGTGAGGGCTTGCAGGAGTGTCGTCCAAGGATTTAACCACTCATGGAAGAGAAGGAAAGAGCTGGCGAAAAAGCAAGCAGAACTTAATCTTCCTCAACATACCTTGATCCAAGCCGTTGTGACTAGATGGGGGTCTACATACGACATGATTTCTAGGTAGGTTTGAATTTCTTGTGCATGGAAATATCCTGTTCATTTAATTATTCTGTCAGTGTCAACTCAGCATAAGCTTTCTTATGCTTAAAAGGCACATGGTGCATGAAAACAAAACAAATGTAAATGAAAACAATAGATCTGACTCAATTTCTTCTAAAATTGCCCAGAACTGGCGGTCTTGTAAACTCCTGGACCTGATATAATTGACACATTTCAGAATCAAAGACATGACATGTTCATATTTCAAGCATTTTCTGTAAAGTGCCTGTTGGTGTATAATGCAGTGCAGAACAATCGCTGGATCTGCATTTTCCTCTTCAAAATTTCTTTTGTATTTTGTATTTTGAACTACCAGTATTTTCTTCTGTCATTAGGGCCTTTCGCACCGCTTTAGTTCCAGAACTAAATGTACAGTACTAAAGTACTGGGACGATTTTGCGCAAACTATTTCCCAGTACCATTTAAAGGGTTGCATTCGCACCGAGAGTGTGTACTAAGAAGTGACGTAAACCGGTCGACAGCATCATCATTTAAGTTCCGGCGGTGCGAAAACGCCAAAAAGTGGGTAGTTCCACAATTAGTTCTGGTACTATGAAAAGGTTCCCACGGTGCGAAAGGCCCTATAGACAGGGCACCATCAGGGGTTAATGCCTATCAGTCTCTGCCACTGCGTTTGCTGATGGAAAGAGAATGTTGAACAAGCTCTTCTTTTCTAAACAGAGAATATCAGTGACTTTCAATATGCAATTTTTCCAAAAAAACTTAGGTGAATTGCTTTCCTGATTTTGGCAATCAGCTCCCTTTTTCCCTCTCCTCTCACTTCCCTAGTACTTCTCATACTGTTCTTCGTGTTTAGTTGAGTAACGACACTTGAGATTATATTAATCATACCAGACAAATAGCATTTCCATTAAACTCAATCAAAAACATACTGCAATGTCTGTCTTTCTTGAAACTGCGTTAATCATCCACTTTCCTTTTTAGTTTGGAAAGAGATATCAGTCTTGTTCACAGCCAAGCAATAAAAAACTACTAAAGTTCTGTAAATGTTTGAGACCCCTGCTCTACACCCTTAAGAAAGGGGTGTACCCAAAGGTAGAGCGTTCAGTCGTATGACCTCACTGTGCTGTTAGGTAGGTATGCATGAATTTTATTGATTGTCAGAGCAGAGTTCTGCTTCATGTAAAATGTTGGAATTTTATCCTCTGATCGACTGTGTGGAGAATAGCCTCTTAGCCCCAGCTAAGCTCAAAAGAAAATGCTCCTCATCATCTGGATTACTATTAATAGCATTCAGGACACAGCACTGATAATCAGACATATCTGGCTACACAAGGGGTTTTCAACTCTGGCCTTCGAGGTCCACTTTCCTGCAGAGTTTATCACCAACCTTGACCAAACTCATCTGCCAGTAACTTTCTAGTAATCCTGAAGACCTTGATTAGCTTGTTCAGGGGGGTATTCCAAAAAGCAGGTTATGTGACATACCCGGTAATGTTTGAGGATAAGCGAGCGGATAACCTCAGTTTTCGGTTCCAAAATCGGAGGTTACTTTCAGGGTATGTAAGTAACCATAGTAACTTGCTCTCTGAAGATAACCTGCTCC